CATTGCTGGCACTAAAAATGGTGTGACAGAAGAATCTCCTGGAGAAGAAGGGAAAAACATGAGCCTTTATTATAGACTGAGTCATTAATCCTCCAAGAGAGCATTCATCTACACAAGCATGGCATAAGTTGTTTCAGCAGAGGAAGCATCTCAAACAATTGGCCACTGCAAGGAAAGCTTATTCAGAAAAACTCCGAAAGTAAAAAATACACATCAGAAGGAGAGGTCGCTTTGGGGAGTTTTTAAAGCTTCCCCCAAACCTTCGGCTCATTGAAGAGGTAAATAAATAAATAAATAAATAAATAAACACTAGCTTTTCACTTCAAGCACGAGTCAGTATTTTCCTCATGTTATGAGCCTACCAATAAATTGACATATGCATATTTCCAAATCCTACTTTAACTACTGGATGGAAGTAGGTTTTCCAGCCACGTGAACCCTTCTACAGGACTTCTGTAGACAAAACCCACAGTAACCACAATAACAAAGCCTTCTTTTTGAAATTGCATTCTCACAATGGACAATACATTGATACCATGGTAACATATAATTTTAAAGGTAGGCAGCACAAATAATCCCAAAAACTATTAGTTGTGAGTACTGTATAGCAGCCACAAAGCTAACCTTGAGCCTTCTCCCAAATACTGCAATCTCACTCAGTTCTGCTGATTTTTTTTGTCTCAAACATCCAGGCCACAGAAGTGTTGGACTCACAGCCCCTTGGGGCTGAAAAATGGAAGTGCCAGAGGTGTGTCACAACCTCCTGCAGGTGTCTAGGAAAGCAGCAGAGCAGCGGACCCATGAACCACAGCAAAAGGTCATGCTGGGGGTAAAGTCAACAATTTCTGCTTGAAGTGCTGCCCTTATACTGCAGCCTCCCCCCATGTGATAAAAACCCATGCAGAAAAATCCTTATCCCACTTCCCTTCTGCCTGTCATAAAACACAAGCCCTATGAACAGCACCAACCATGCCTACCAAGACACGGTATTTGGGAAAACACTGACTTCAGAATTTGTAAAAGTTGAACCTTGACCCCCACCATCCCTGGAGTTTGCCTTCTTTCTCCGATTCTCCCGCAGCTGGCTGGAGTTTGCCCACGGGAACGCTGCACTCTGGTGCTTTGCTGCTGGCACAGCCCTGTGCCCTGATGCCTCCTGTTCAAAAAGGCACCTCCCTCTCCCTTTTACAGAGCAGGTGGCAGCATCCTCCTCCCTCAGACCAGCTTGTGCCAAAGGATGCAGCAAGAGGTGGCTTTGCTTGTGCTGCTCTCGCCAGAGCTCTGCTTCCAGCAGGACCAGGACAATCTTTAGTCACATCTGCACGTGCCGCCTGTTTTAGCAGAGCCTCACCTCAGCAGAAAGTTCATTTCACATCAGAGCCTCCCCTTAGCTTCACTGCACAAGCTTTAGAACCATGCAGCCCACAAATCAGATTGCTATTACCAGTAGCAGGAGACAGGGCAGCATTATGTATGCTCCAATACAATGCACTGATTCCTTCTTCTGAGACATGGAGAAAAAGCCATCTGGTCTGCAGCACCAAGGCTGCCCACCATTTACCTCCACTGCAAAGTTACCAGGAGATAAGAAGAAGGGAAAAAAAGGCATTGACTAAAATTAGTCACTCGTTAGGCACCGACCCAACAGCCTCCAGAAATAATTTTTTTGTCTTCAAAATATAAATCAAATTATTATTCTGCAATTGAGACCTTTAATATCCTGGACTTTTTCAGCTGAAGGATTTGCCACAGATTTGTTCTTTCTTCACCTGCATCCCAAATTACTGCATGGCTCTCCCCCAGCAGCAGAGGAAAGGCCTCAAACTACAAGAAATGCATGTAAACTTAGGCACCATTTCATGCTGTCAGCATGAAGCCTCTCACCGTTTTATATGGACAGAATAGCAGCTTTAGAGAAGAACAGAATAGTAACTTTAGCAGATAAAACAAGTACATATCATGAGAGACAACTGGGTGCATTACATTCATCTCACTCCTGGGTTATGGAACAGTCACTGCCCAGCTGCATTACAGAACCTGCCAGAGGGCAAGAAGGTGCTATTAGAATACTCTGGGACAAATTCCACTTCATCAGACATCCAATCTGAAAGTAAAACTGTGTGGTTCTTACCATACAGCAAAATGTCAGTTTTCTTGTCATCAGGTATGCTGTGTTTACTGGTAATTATTTTTATGTGAAAGCTCAGTAGTGGTCTACTATTTTACTATAAACTATTTTGGAGAAAATTCACAGGGTGTGATGCATAAATCTCAAAGGCTCTTAGTAATGAACTATTCAGATTTTTTTTGGAACTTTTTTTTTATACCATAGGAATATTCCAAAAACAACTTTGCAATACTTACTGTTATAATCCTTGATATATTATGCTGCAGACTGAGAGCTGCATGAAGTCAGTGCTAAATTAGCCAGGACTAAGTTTACATCTTCATTTTAAGTATAGGACTGGAAATGAAAGAACTATGTGTGGCAATAACTAGTGTGATTTGAAAACATGCAGATCACCAATACTGGATAGCATAGGAATGGAAGCACAAGGCAACCACTCCTTGAAACTTTCACAATTCCAGCAGTTCAGCAGTGCTACAGAAAACATGAAGCTCCCTGTCTGATGGAAAACACCCCTAGCTTGCACCAAATGTAGGTAAATACAAACCTTAAGGTCAAAGTCAGCACAGCAGAAGTTTACTGCCTTTACAAATAACCACACAGTGTCTGCTTCACCTGCCAAGCAGAGCCTGTAACACTGACACAGCTGGCAAGGGTTGCCAGCATCGCCCAATCCTAAGGGAAACGGAGTCACACACTCTACTATGGTATCTGCTACAGGTGAAGTGACAGATCTGTCAAACCTTCCTGATGCCACTGCAGGCAATATAAAAATGACAGAGAAGAAAAAGTTATTTTTCATCATTACACTGACTTCTTGAAACATACCATGCTTTCTCTGGAAAATGGGCAAGGCAAATGGAGGAACGGTAACTTAAACATTGCCCATTCTAGTGAACAGGGAAAGTTCATTTAATAAGCAATAAACCACAGCTAATTATTAATTACAGTCGTATCAAGTGGCCCATGACTTGTATTAATCAGTCTCTAAATGGAGCACAGCATCCATGACTGAGCTGCGCTAAGTTGAGAATGTCAGCTCTATCCATAATTTATGATGATCCTCCATAAATCTGTTCAGTTAACACAATGACACCGGCCATGTGGGCACATTAACCAATTTTTTTCCTGACAGTTGTTGGAGCTGTAACAAAGACTCGCATGGAGCAGCCAGAAGCAAGATTTCCACTCTGAGTCACTTCTCTCTGAGAATCTTTGGATGTGGAAGGACTTGGTAGCTTGATGAACTTGTGTGGTGTCACCAGAAGATGTCTGCCCTGTTCTGTGCACACCTATTGAAACTAGTAAATGCCCTAGTTTTAGCTTGGCAGTCCACAGTTTGTAAGAGATGTCATCTAGATGCATTTTATATGGAATAATTTCCTTTTCTGTAACACTCAAGTACTTTGTGCATGAATCCACACATACAGCAACATATATCTGGTTTTTAGCTACACTATGTTTTTATTAAATCCTTGCACTCTTTGAAAACAACATCCACACAAACCCTATGGAGATCACAGAATCAATGAGGTTAAAAAAGACCTCTGAGACCATGGAGTCCAGCTTTTAACCAAACACCATCATGTCAACTATACCACTGCACAAAATGCCACATCCAGTCTTTCCTTAAACACCTCCAGGGACAGTGACTCCACCACCTCCCTGGGCAGCCCATTCCAATGTCCAATCACCCTTTCACTGAAGAAATTCCTCCTAATGTTCAATCTAAACTTCCTCTGCTGAAGCTTGAGATTATGCCCTCTCGTTTGTTGCCTGGGACAAGAGGCCAATCCCCATCCAGCTACACTCTCCTTTCAGGAACTGTAGAGTGTGGTAAGGTCACTCCTGAGCCTCCTGTTCTCCAGGCTAAACACCCACAGCTCTCTCAGCTGCTCCTCATCAGACTCATGCTCCAGACCCTTCCCCAGGCTCCACTCCCCTTCTCTGGACTCTCTCCAGCACCTCCGTGTCCTTCTAGCAGTGAGGGGCCCCGAGCTGGACACAGCACTCGAGGTGCAGACATACAGAACCGTAGGCACGAAAACACATGTTTACATTCTGTCTTCCTGTACAGCCAGGTTCCTGCTGCTGACACACAACACAAGGTCTCTGAGCTGTTCCCTGCGCATTCACCAGTGCCCCCTAGACACAGTGTGTGCACGCCCTGACCCCCAGCCCTGCGGAGCTGCTCGCACCGTGCGCGGCACGGGCTACGAATACACGAGCCCTTCCTGCCCCCATGGGCGACAGCCAGGTCCGGAGCGCCGGGCAGCTCACCCTCCCCCGGGACAGGACGCTGCTTCCCCCGCACTGCCCCGACCCCCGCGGGCAGGGCGGGCTGTCACTGCGCCCCGCCCGGCTCCCGCTTCCCGCCCCGCCTGCCCGGCAGGTGCCGCCCGGGCGGGGCGGGGGCCCGGCCCCGGCACCCCCGAGGGCAGCGGGGGTCGCACCCTCGGCACGGAGCTCCCCGCCCGCCGCTCGGGCCGGGACCGCGCCCGGGAGGGGCGGCGGCGGGGGGGGGGGGGCCGGCCCGGCCCGGTTGCCAGGGAGGAGGCTCGGGCTCCGGCCCCGCACAGCGCCCGCGGCGGGAGGGAGGGAGCGAAGAAGGGAGGCGGGCGGGCGGCGGGGCGCGGCGCGGGTGTCCCGCCGGGACGAGGGGGCGGCGGGAGCGGGGGCGCCGGTCCCTACTCACTCTCGTCAGGCAGCTGATCCAGCTCCGCCATCTTGAACGAGCCGCGCCGCTTTTTCAAAGGCTGCCTGGCGCGGGGCATTCTGGGGGAGGAGACGGGGCCGGGCGCGCGGCGGGCGCGCGCGCGGGGCGGGGCCTGCGCCCGCGCGGGGCCGGGCGGCGGGGCCCGCGCGCCGCTCCCGGCAGCCGCGGCTCGGCAGCGCGGGAGGGAGCGCCGCCGGCCCGGGGCCCGCTAAGGACTCGGAGCGGACCTCACACTACTTCCAGTCTAGTTCCAGCTCCCGCCACCGGCTCCCACTAGACCAGGTTGCTCAGAGCCCCATCCGAACTGGCTTTGAACGCCTCCAGGGCTGGGCTAGCCAGAGCTGCTCTGGGTAACGTGTTCCAGTACCTCACTGGAAAGACTTTTTTCCCAATACCTAATTTTCCCCTCTTTCAGTTGGTACCCATTACTCATGGTCCTGTCGCTACTGCAGCTCCTGACAGTCCCTGTCTGGCTTCCTTCAGATACTGGAAGGTCGCCATGAGGTCTTCACACAAACTTCTCCACGCCTGAAGAGCCCCAGCTTTCTCAGCCTGTTGTCATAGGGTAGGTGCTCCAGTCCTCTTATCACCACCATGCTTCTCTAAACTTGCTGCAGCAGTTCCCTGTCGATTCTTACGATGCGGGATGGGGGGGAATGCGTGATTGGCAGTTCAGGATGGGAGGAAAGGGGTGGAGGTGTTGGCTGTCACAAAGGATCACCCCGAAGTAGCTGTGCTAGCTTTGAGTCTTTAAACAATCCCATTACATTATACCCATCCTCCTTCACTGAGCAATAACTTTTTGCTAAACTCTGCCAGTTTTCCTTGTTGCTTTTCATAAGTGACTGCTGAGGTGAGGCTCCAGGAGTCCGGGATCACAACAATCCCGGCCCAGCCAGCCCTGGCCCTGCTGTCACAGCCTGTGGCACCTCGCCCAAGAGGCGGCTGAAATGCTCACCGAGCCCAAGGCCTGAAGGTCAAGGTCTCACTTGTTCTCACCCGGTGCCAGGGAAAGCCAACAAACCACAGAAGTGGGTGGCTGTTGCCTAACAAGCTCCTTGTCTTGGCCTGCCCTCTACCATCACACCCCTGAAAGCTTTCTTCAAGCAGCAGCAGTGGGTTTTTTTGGTGTAGTTTTCTCAGATCTCTGCACTACAGTGAATTCTAAAGTATCAATAAATATAAGCATGGAAATACCATCATGAACCACAAGCACCTTAATTGCTCATGGACCACACTCTCCACATAATTTGGCTTTGATAACACTATTATACCAACCAAAATTCCTTTTTTTAAGGTATAAAAATAAATGTAAAAATGCAAATTGAGCCTCAAAATAAATAAACAGTATATCTTAGTAAAGGCTAAATCTGTGTCACATGTTAAACATATTGCCAAGAGCACAGTGGTATAATACAAAATGGATGCTATGCCTGGTTGTATGCAGGTCTTTGAAAGCACCTAGGTGAAACCAAAGATTCTACACAATACAGAAAATGTCTATCTTGGGACATGGAATAGAGTTTAGTTTGTGTTCTTAATTTGCTAATGAACTCAGATGACTAGGCACTCTAGCAGGTTGAGAGGGGCAGGATATAGGTCATGTTATTAAACAATTTTAACACATAAATAAATAAAATCAACGTTGCCCTTGTGCTCAAGGGGGATAAAGCCAGTTTTTAAGTGAAGAAACAAACTGAGTGAAATGCTTTAGAAATTCCCCCCAGGGCTTTCTATGCACATTGTAGCAGAGCTAAAAAAAGAAAAAAAAAAGAGGAAAAAAATTACAAAGCCTAGCTTGCATTTCCAGCCCCCTTTTCAGATCATTTTGAAAGGTTGTTTAAACAGCTTTCCCTCCCCTTAGCCCCCAAAGGGTCTAAGACACCTCACTTGGAGCTTTCCATACTGCACAGCTCCAAAGAAAGCTGCTACCGTAGACACTTGAAAAGCACAACACTAAAGAAACTAGTAACAAAACATGACTAAATAGTAATCTGTGCTACATCAAACACCAACTCCCCCAAGCATTAAATTCTGCACAATTTTCCCCTTTTAATAAAACAGTTCCACCACCCAGAACGCCTGACATGGACCAAACCTTCCAGGCTCAGTTAAACAACGTGTTAATGACACCAATATTTCTCTGTACTTCAGCTGTGCTCCCCTTGTTCCAAGGGCTGTATGGTAATGCTCAGCTCAGACTGGCAACACTGAGACTTCCACAGCTGACAGAGACACTGATCATCAGCAAGGTTTTTACTGCTGTGCTTTGTGAACCTTGTCATCAGGTGTGGCTGCCAGCGTTGCCCAGAGCCATCCCAATGCTGGAGCTTTCCCTGAGCAAGGGCTTTGCTTGGGAGGGGTGAAAAGTATTTTACAACACAATCACATTTTGCAACAGTCCTCAAGAGTATGAATTTCTACAAGGGGAAAATGAAAAAGGAATCAAGCTCAGTGTCTTTCAGGGAGTCTTTGTAGACTGCAACAAAACCAGATGAAAAAGGTGAGATTTTTCCCTCTCACCAAACATCTCCTGCCAATCATTTCACAAATTAACAGGTGTGAAGATAGACTTCCGCTCCCAACAGCACAATGATGATTATTCCTTCATTTCATTCCAACAGCTGCACTTGGAAAATATTTAACAGAAACCATTACCATTCACTATGTTGAAAGGGTAACAATCAACACTGTATTTTTATTCCTGGATAAATAACCTTTTACATCTTGGCCTTTATTGGATGCTGTATCTCTGTGTTCTGGTTTTTCGTGTGTCCTGTGTTTGCCGTTTCCAAGTCACATAGATGCGACCCCATTTACAAAGCCCCAGCCAGGGCCATTGGTCAGTGTGCACACCAACACACATTTTCAGTGCATCCTTTTACCATTCTGGCAAACATGCAGTTTGCACTTGGGTGACGTGGAAATGACACAACTCTTCTGACAGGCAGGGTGACTGAAAACATCTGTGCTCTCTGCCAACAATCTACCTTAGGTGCTGCTGACTCACCTGCGTGGCACAGCTGCAGGGAGGTCTCTAAATGGCTGCACTGCTGCCATTCGCTCTTGCCAGGGTCACATTAGGCAACTGCTCCTAATGGTGTGTGCTGAAATGCTGCAGAGAGCACTGCCACACTCCCATTACTCCTCAGTTGCTGCAGATGATAGTAAGACATGGGTTACAGCACCTACTGACCAATGCATTCAGAGTCCTGTCAGCACAGAGCAGGTAGTGCTGCATCCAGGGGACAGCTATGCTGCCATTTTCTCATCTCCCCTAGGCAGGCCCTGGCAGTAGGAAAAAAAGCAAGGACAGCTGGCAGAAGAGAGTGCTCTTTAGTCACTGAAGCATCTTCTTGTGAAGTTTGAGTCCTGCTGCATTAATTACATTATGAAATTAAGACTCTTTAATGAGAGGGTGTAGTAGTTTTCCCTTTGAAGCAGTAGTTTCTCCTTTGAGTTGTTAGGAAGTCATTCTTCTCATCTTGCCTGTCCCTGTGTATCTCACTTCTGTGGAAGTGATCTGAAATGCCCACAACAGACCCACATGCTACCTTCACACCAGAACAAATTAAAATCATCACAGCAACTCATCTTGGCTGGGACCTGCACCTGCATTTTCTTCTCACAGGTGCCACTTCATCTCCAAAATGACCATTTCTAGAGAAGAGCCTGGCATTAATTTTAAAGTGAAAGCACACACAAACTCTTGTTCAGATGCATGTACTCCACAACAGTGGCAACTATTTTTATGGGCATAACAGGAGCATAAGTATAATGGACTAAATCAGGGGCCTCAACACATACATAAAAGCAATTCAGGCAAAACACTAAGTGGGCTATAAATTGGCTGCAATAGCACTTCAGCAGACAATTACATCATTATGTCCCCAGAATTCACAGTGAGGTCTGTAACCATCCCCCTGAAAACAAGCTGAAGCAGAGACCTCAGTCATTACAAACACTGCAGGCCTCATTTAAGAACAGGAGTACAATTATTTATGGCATTGACAAGTTTCACGTGCCCAGAGGTCTTTTTCATATAGAAATTATTTGTTTGGAAGTTTCCCCCTGCACTTTCTGCTGATTAGAAACTGAAGAAGGGCAGGGGCAGAATGTCATTGTTTTATGGCAGAAATACCAGGATGGGCAACTTGTGCTTTAATTTTTTTTTCTCAGGTATTTTTTCCCTGCATGAACTCGGGCAAGTCACAAAGAATTTACACTGACTGCTAATCAGTAAGCCTAGGCTGGCTTCCTTCAATTAACTGCATAGACTATCTTAATGTCTGTGAGCCGTTGTACAACAGAGCCTGCCACAATGCCAAATAAAGACAACACAGTTAAATATTTATAAATTACTGCTTTTGGTAGTTTAACATTTAGATGAGAAGCCATTCCTCAACATGTTTCCCCTGAAAAAAGCACAGGATGTCATGGGACCTAATGTCTTGAAAAGTCGTTCCTTTCAAGTGCTTTTGACAGAAATGGGGCTGCCTATTCATGCAGCTCTGCTCTGTGCTCGCACTGCCAAAGCAGTGCTTTCAGTGAGTGGCACATGCTGCTCCTCCCAGCCTGGCCCCGGGGAGAGGCCTCTCATCCACCTCCAGGAGAGTGGATCCGCTCTGCTCGGACAGCTGGCAGCACAAGCAGCACTTGGGCTGACATCAGATTTCACTGCAGGACAGTGACAGGGCTCTCCTACAGTCCCCAAAGGGTACCTGCTACCTCTTTAGAAAGTCCTGTACTCTTCCTGCTGTATTTGTGAGGTTAGGGACAGTTTGTGATGCACTTGCTTGTGCTGCAATTACAACTGAGCACTATATACACAGCACGAAGTACTCCTTGTGCTGCTTGGGTTGGAACAACAGGGAACTTTCAGCTATCTCTAGTATGGGTGACAGAGAGAGCAGCTGCCTTCAACTCCTGGTCCCAAACTGAACTGTAAACTGCTTATTTAGAGGGTGAAAAATAATCTATCTTCTAACTAAACAAGTTCTCATGTTCTCTTTCAGAGACTGACAACATCATACTTAAGTGACTTACCAAAAGGGATTTTTGGAAGCAAAACAGTGATTAGCCACTGGTTAAGCTACTTAAGAAGCAGAAGACAGACTACTCTCCTCACTTCCTCTCAGAATCCATTATCCCCAACCTCAATCAATTTTTTATGTTCAGCTGTCTACAAGCCATACAACTTACCCAGTCCTTCTGCATTTCCTTCTCTCCCTGAAAACAGCTTCATTTTTCATTTATCACTCTACATCTGACTCCTCTCATTCAGAAGTCCTGGGAAGACCTGCCTTATTAGCAACCACTCTGGCTTTAATTCCTTTTACAAAAGGCCCTGGGACACAACAACATTTTAGGAAAAAGATCTGCTGTTCCAACACAGGTTACTAAAGATTGAAACCACAACTGTCACAATGAGCTTGAATTGTCCCCTTCTTGGGAATTAGCCATCACTTTCCCTAATGCTTCAGAGAAATCAGGAGTTTTTGAAGAGAACGATTTGATGTTGCTCTATGGTTAAAGTGCTCCCATATTGCAAAATGACTAAAAGTGAGAAGTAACAAATATCATGAAACATTGAAATAATCAGTTTGTATTGCTCTTTTGAGACAGGCATTTCAAGACCACCAACAGCATAGCAACAGACCTTCAGATCTTGATGAACGAAGCTTGAGCCCAGACTCAACTTACACCTTTGTTAGGACATGAGTCTATAACAACCAACTTACATCATGTTGAAGGTAGGTATTTAAAGGAGGTTTATTTGGGCTAATGCTAAATTCAAACAGCCACAAGCTCATTTTCCATGTTTACCACACCAACTGCTGACAGATGAAGTCTCAGTGGAAAGTCCAAATTTTAATTTCACCGTAACTTCCTGAAACATGACTACAGATTTCAATATTTGGCATTTGATCCTCGAGAGAGATACCATGTTTAAGAACATTCTACCAAATACATTTAAATTATACTCCAAAACAATTCGGAAGTTTTGAAACATAAAACTGTTAGTATGAAATTAGTTTTTATTTTTTTACCTCAAAATAAATGCACATTTATCATTTAGTCAAGTGAAAACTGAGAAGGAGTATCTTAAACAAGGGGGAACCTTAACAGAGCAAGTACCACAAACATGCTCAAGTTCCTTCTCCTGCTCTTGCCCAGCTCTGTTTGGCTAAGAACACCAGAATAATTTCAATTTTTCTTTCTTGTCAGTTTGGTCAATTAAAATAAACACTTAAAGCACCAGAATCAGAAGTGGTATAAAACAAAACCAGGTACTTCTTCTCATCAGAATTCAGGCCCATGTGTTGCCACACTTTTTATATAAAACTTTCACTAAGTGTTGTACTAAATAGGATTTAGTAATTTCTTCTGCAGTTTAGCTCTTGATATCTTGGTAAGAGAAGTCAATGCATAAGCATGTCAGAAGTCAACGCTATAGTGTAACTACAGTATAACTCTAACAGGGCTTCTAAATACTGTTCACCAGAGTGATGTCTTATAGTTGAATTTCAGTTTCAACAGGTACTTCAGATTTACCTGAGCAACATCGTACACAATATATCTGGGAAGAATGTTAAGGAATAATTACAGCAGTTGATATTAATGACACAGAAAAACTTCAAAACACAGTGAACTTTGAATTTAAGTTATCATACAGATGCCTGGGTGATTAACCAATTCTAAGAGCTCAAATAAAACTTTAAATCTGACTTTTCTATGAATCTGAAAATGTTTTATACAATAGTTAGGAACAAGCAATTAAGTTCTGTGGAGAATAGTGCAGCAGGAATCCTGAGTGACAGGCAAGTGAAATGACTTAGCTACAGAAGGGAATTCTATAGCTCCTGAAAATTTTTTTTTGTCAGAGTAACTCATATCTCTCTTGATATTGAGGCAGAAGAGTCATACAGCTTAAATGAGAGCTACAGATTCAGACCCAGCATTTACAATTGTAATTGCAATTCTATTGCTACCTTCCAGCACGGAGTCATTAATGCTTAATTTCCTACTAAAAAACCCAAACTGTAACCACAGAGAACTCTACAATGATTGTCAGTGTCTGCACATTATTATTTTTCCAGAGACAGTCCCAGCTCATCTATTTGTTTCACAATGCTTTAGGCCTCAAACTTACCTCTAATCCCAAAATGTAAAACAAAATAAATACACATCATGTTACCTCAACTAGCCAATATCAACTGTATTATAGCTCATCATCTGACAATGGTGTATTTAGGAAAACTCAAGATAAAATCAGTATTGCCATGAGTTGTGTTGCCCAGATTCCTTGTAGGAGGAAAACAGCTCAGAAAGGCCAAAGGCAGGTTTCTAGAAAGATTGCATTACTGGGTTACCTGTTTCACTGGCAGTGAAGAGAGCGAGCTGGACCTTAGACATCACTTACTTGCATTTTTATGACCTCCTGTGGATTTAAAGCACTAATTGATTTGGAGGCACTTCTGCCTAGAAAGAGACTTAATGGCTGCATCTCTGCTGGGCATTTGGGGCATACCTCAACACTTGCAGGTCTGGGGAACATAAAAGATGTGCTGAGAGAGTGCAAGAGCACAGAGTTGGCTCCCCCACCTCCTCCTGGCCAAGCTGGCCTACCACAGCACCGTGAGGGAGAAACTAGACTGGAGTGATGAGAAACCACAGGCTGCATTCCCCTCCCCTTGTCCTGGCACATCTCTGGGCAAGACATATCAGGGCAGTTTTGCCTGACCACTCCAGTAATTTTTGTTCCTGTTGGGGAACACCTATTGGTATGTGCATCGCTTCCTTTTTTTGCAGAATGAGAATTTAAGCAGCAACTGTAAAATCATCCCCCTTGCAGAAGAGTTTGTCTGCAAATACTACCCAGAGCACATCTAAACAAAAAACACAGTGAGGCAAAACTCCTAATTTGCCTTAGTGAGGTCCTGCAAATGCAGCAACACTCAAACACCATGTGCAGCCAACATAACAGCAAAGGATACTCATTATACAGAAGACAGGTATCATTGATTCCTGTGGAGATCCCATTCCCTAAGGGAACCTCCACACCACCGAGGGTGGTCGTGGCTGTGGGATCAGGCGCAGTTTTGCCCAAGCCTAGAAAGGGAAAACAATATTAGTTACAAATCTAGGAGGCAAACACAGACTTTGCACAAAAAGAAAATGATCCAGAAAATGATCCAGCCAGCCAAATACTACTTCACATATACTTTCAAATGAAGTGTAAAAGTATCTTCAACAGAACATGAAAAATACAGTTTGTTTATTCAATTCAGCATCACCATACTTATGGCAGTTGTACTCTGCTACATTAAAAATGAGAATTTTAGACTTTCAACTGTTAATTGTCTAATCTGTATGATCAAACCTAAACCAGAACAGATTTGTAGCTCTCATATCCTAACTCCATTAATGGAAACATACACATCACAGTATTTTCAGACAAGTACAACAAACCAATTCTTATTCTCATTAAAATTTTCAATATAAATCTGATTTTATATCCATAAGAACATGAGTAGTACGTATAGAAAAAGGTGCAAAATCAATTTTTATTCTCTTTTAGGCAACCTATTTTTTAAGCCTCTCAAAATGAATAGTTTAAGATAAGCCACTCATTACTGAAGATACTTTTCTTCAATCTCCCATCTTGGAGACAGAAGACAGTCATAATTACCATTTATTTTGCCTGAGTTAGACAGCTAAGTCTTTTCTCTCATCTTCTTTTTCAATATATGACACTTTTTGCAGATAGAAGTGTAATGAGCCGTTGTTCCATCTCAACTTTTATTCCTAGCTTTTCCCTTCTACCCAAACTTCTAAGCCACTTTGAAAGCTAAACAATTACTCTTCTTATCTAGTCATCTCTCTTCAAAAATAAACATCATTGTTACAATGAAAGTGAGTAAGAAGTTGGAGAATGTACTTTATATTTTCTCCAGTGTAACATCAAATAGAATTTTCCTCCTGAACTTCAGCACCTTCAGCTGTTAATACTCTGAGTGTATTAACTTGCATCTCAAAGCACCCCATACACATCCTGATGCAACTAAAGGGCAACATCATGCAACTTCTTAAAGGATGTACAGGCAAGAAGTGAATATAGCTCTCTTCACTTAGCAGAGTGCCACAACCAAATCTGACATCAATTACAGATTACTAATGACAACTACTAATGCTTACCTTTGACACTGTGTTTTCCCTTGGGCAATTTTGTGATGTGGGAAGCATTCTTTAGTTCATACCTGGACAGCACAAAGAACACACAATCACACTTTACATTTGTCTTAACTACCTTAGTGAAAAAAAAACCCAAAAAATTTTCAGGCTTCAGATTATGATGAGTTACTGTAAAGTTAATCTAAACTCTAGTCTTCTGGAACTCAAACTCTTTTTGTCTTGGTTACTAATTTTAATGATAACATTTTTTACAAGATTCAGATAGACCTGCAACAATAGCTCTTAGTTTAAGAAAAAAACAGACCTTGTTTCTGAAGAAAAAACACATGCTGCTTCTTCACACTGAAAAAAAGGCTTGCAATTTTAGCATCACCTTCTAAGAGGATGCATTAAGCACATTTGGCAAATACTCTTTATAAGTTACGTACATATTTCCAAGGGCGACTTCTCCCAGTAGTACTAAACCTATGGGATCAGCTTGAGATGTGTGACAGTAGTTTGCACTCTTGGATACCATGTCTGCAAAATAGATGCCCTTTCCAAACATGTAGCCGGTCTGCAAGAAGGAAATAAATAAATAAGATTTGGGCAATAAAATAACACAAAGGCAGCACTGAATCCACCTGGCTGGGCTCCCAGGAGAGCAAAACTGCAATTCAAGCTCTTGTGGACACCAATGCGCAACCCACTTGGGGACATGATGTTGTCTAAATGGTGGCAGATAACACAGGGGGCTCCCCACACAGAAATTCCCTTCTTTAGGTTGTCCCTGCTTGTGGCCATCTCTGGGCACATGGATGTAGGCAGCCAGAGAAGCTATTTCACCTACCACAGGAGCTTCAGGAGGAGCTATCCGCAGACCCTGCGAGAGGATCCCAGCGAAGTTGGTGGTGCGGGAGCCATGCCACAGCAGCTGGCGGTTGTGGAGCTGCCTGAAGGGCTTGTAACGCTGGCTCTCCCCCTCACGCTCAATCCTGAAGATCTTCAGTTCAGAAGAGGAAAAGAATAACCACACAAATAAACCATTACTTTCATGCAACTCATCAGAGGGGAGAAAAAAAATCATCCGATCTGCAATGTACATTGGTCTGCTAGGCAAATTGATTGGGATGTGTTTTAGTGTTTGTAATTGGCTGTGTCAGGCTAGGAAAAAAGAGGTAGCAGCAATCACACAGTACTTGTTGATTACTTCTCCACCTTCTGCATTTTCATGGCTCTATTTTTCTGAAAAAATCATTCAATCAACTAAGGCTCAATTTCAGGTGATTACTCCTCCACCTTCCCTTTGAGGCAAATTAAATTAAAATAAAAACACCAAAGCAAAACCACCTCATTAGATTCATCTCTGCCTAGACTTTTGCTATTCTAATTAAAAGAAAACATTCTAGCAAATCACCCCTTCAACAGAGGAAAATGGGTAAGTTACTCAAAAATATAAGGCAATTGCAAACAAGCAAGTCAAAGGAGAATCCATCTTCCCAAAGATAAACCCCATTACTGCCCAGCTTACATCCACAACTTTGAGGTCATATGCGTTGTGTGTAGCCGCGTGAGTGTTTTTCACATATTGTTTGATAATCTTGGCTTCTTCTGAATCTTTGTCAACAACCTGCAAAGAGGCAAATGAGAAGTTTCCTCAGCACACAAACTAGCAGCCATCTTAAAACATGACAATATCCATCCTATGCCTGCAACTGCCCCCTTTAAACCTCCTCAACCATTTAAGCAGGAACACAATCCTAGCTAGAGAAGATGCACAGATATACATACAGCCACAAAATGTCTGAGAAAATGTTGGAAACTGAGATGATTTTCAATTCCACTACAAAAAGATGAGTCAATCAAGGACTGAGTCCAGTCCAGCTTTCAACACCTCCAAGAAGAGAGCCTCCATGGCCTCTCTGGGTAACCTTTTCTAGTATTTGACCACTGTCAGAGTAAACAAACTAAAACACCCAAACCAAACAACATCAACAACAAAAGCTTTTTTTTTGTTGAAACACAAATTCCTGTATTTCAATTTGTGCCCATTGCCTCTTGTCACTGGAAACCACTGAAGAAAGTCTGCCTCTGTCCTCCTTCCTTCTTTCTCCTATCAGGTATTCCTAGATATTGATACAATATTCTTTAACCTTTCTTTTCTCCAAGTCAGCTCTTTCTGCATCTCTTTGAACACATGCTCCAGTTCCTTAACCCACCTCAGTTCCATATATCTGTCCAGTTACAGTTTGGGTGATTTATTTTACTCCAAACAACAGGACATCAGCTTGTATTCACAGCCACTCATTGCCTTTTATTTCCTTTACCTTAATATCTGTTTTAAGTTTTTCATAGTTGATGTCAATTGGGTCTTTATCTCCATCTTCATTTCCACCTCTGAGAAGGCTGTAAGCAACCTCAATATCAAGCAAGTTGTCCAACATCTGCACTTTAGCCTGAAGAATTGAAACAGGTAATATTATAATACTTAGGCCATTGACATGTTCAGAATAAGTCTGGGATACTCCAAATCAAAAACGTGTCTGACAATCAC